ACACACACACACACACACACACACACACACACACACACACACACACAGCCACACCAGCCATGGAGTACTACCCAGCCATAAAACTGATGAAATCTTGCCATTTGTGACAACATGGATGGACATTGGGGGTATTGTGCTAAGTGAAATAAGTCAGGTGGAGAAAGACAAATACAGTCTGATTTCGTACATATGTGGAATACAACAAACTATAAACAAACAAAAGAAATGAACAAACCAAACCAAACAAGCCTCCTCCCCCTGTAGATACAGAAAACAGAGTACTGGCTGTCACAGGGGAAGGGGCATGGTTGAGGGGAGGCAAAATGGGTAAAGTGGGTCAACTTTATGGTGATGGATGGAAACTCAATTTCTGGTGGTGAGCAAGTTGTGGGTATACAGAAGTAGAAATATAAAGTCGTATACATGAAACGTATATAGTGTTACAAAACAATGTTACTTCAATAAAAAATATATCTTAAAAAACTAAAGTGCTATGTTGGTTCTATGATGGCCATGGTCATGCTGGAGAAGATAAGTACAGTGGAGATTTGCTTTTTTTTTTTTTTTAAACATCTTTATTGGAGTATAATTGCTTTACAATGGTGTGTTAGTTTCTGCTTTACAACAAAATGAATCAGTTATACATATACATATGTTCCCATATCTCTTCCCTCTTGCGTCTCCCTCCCTCCCACCCTCCCTATCCCACCCCTCCAGGCGGTCACAAAGCACCGAGCTGATCTCCCTGTGCTATGCGGCTGCTTCCCACTAGCTATCTACCTTACGTTTGTTAGTGTATATATGTCCATGCCTCTCTCTCGCTTTGTCACAGCTTACCCTTCCCCCTCCCCATATCCTCAAGTCCATTCTCTAGTAGGTCTGTGTCTTTATTCCTGTCTTACCCCTAGGTTCTTCATGACATTTTTTTTTCTTAAATTCCATATATATGTGTTAGCATACGGTATTTGTCTCTCTCTTTCTGACTTACTTCACTCTGTATGACAGACTCTATGTCTATCCACCTCATTACAAATAGCTCAATTTCGTTTCTTTTTATGGCTGAGTAATATTCCATTGTATATATGTGCCACATCTTCTTTATCCATTCATCCGATGATGGACACTTAGGTTGTTTCCATCTCTGGGCTATTGTAAATAGAGCTGCAATGAACATTTTGGTACATGACTCTTTTTGAATTATGGTTTTCTCAGGGTATATGCCCAGTAGTGGGATTGCTGAGTCATATGGTAGTTCTATTTGTAGTTTTTTAAGGAACCTCCATACTGTTCTCCACAGTGGCTGTATCAATTTACATTCCCACCAACAGTGCAAGAGGGTTCCCTTTTCTCCATACCCTCTCCAGCATTTATTGTTTCTAGATTTTTTGATGATGGCTATTCTGACTGGTGTGAGATGGTATCTCATTGTAGTTTTGATTTGCATTTCTCTAATGATTAATGATGTTGAGCATTCTTTCATGTGTTTGTTGGCAGTTTGTATATCTTCTTTGGAGAAATGTCTATTTAGGTCTTCTGCCCATTTTTGGATTGGGTTGTTTGTTCTTTTGTTCTTGAGCTGCATGAGCTGCTTATAAATTTTGGAGATTAATCCTTTGTCAGTTGCTTCATTTGCAAATATTTTCTCCCATTCTGACAGTTGTCTTTTGGTCTTGTTTATGGTTTCCTTTGCTGTGCAAAAGCTTTGAAGTTTCATTAGGTCCCATTTGTTTATTTTTGTTTTTATTTCCATTTCTCTAGGAGGTGGGTCAAAGAGGATCCTGCTGTCATTTATGTCATAGAGTGTCCTGCCTATGTTTTCCTCTTAAGAGTTTGATAGTTTCTGGCCTTACCCGGGTGGGTGTTCCATAAAGATGGGGCCTGGATGCTGCAGAAATGACCACAATCACAGCCGGGACTCCGTAGCCCACTGGGAATGTAAGTTTCTTCATGAACTTGTTGACACTGGAGTAGTTGACCACTGTCAGGTTGTGTGCAGTGAGGAAGAGGTGCAGGCCCTCCAGCAGCATCCAGGTGAAGGAGGCCAGGTAGAGATAGTGCAAGGCACCTGCAATGATGGCACATAGCACCTGGGGAAGGAGGAAGGTGTAACCAGGAGGGAGTGTCAGGGTGTAGCATGACCCCAGGACCTCTTCTATACTTCATCACTGGGGAGAACTCTGACGTATATGGAGGAGTTGTCAATGGAGTGTCTTCTAATTGTGCCAATCAGTGTGAAATTGGCTACTTACATATCTAACTTTACCTGGAATGCCATTTTATTAAGGAGTCCAAGGCAGCATGGCTTCATGAACTCAGCATCCCCTGGGGCAGAGCAGGGGTATTTTGGGACAATTTAAGCACCTTGATCTCGGTTCTGTTGATGGCTATTAGGAAGAGCAGGTGGGCCAGGAAGAGGCAGAGTGAGAGCTGCAGGTGGAGCAAAGTGCTGGTGTTCTGGATGGCTTTGCACAGCAGGAAGGTGAGGGCTGCCAGGAGGAGGCACAGCAGAGAGAGGCTCAGCCCCACGTAGGTGATCACAGTCAGTGTGGGATCCTTCTCCTGGGACACATCAGAGAGGACATCACAGTCACCCTTTCCTGCTCTGGGGTAATGATGCTTCCACCATTTTTGTTTTTATTTTTAGGCATATAAAAACCAGGAATGGAGGAGCCAAGTAGATATGTGATGTTTATGGCTAACTTTCTACAGGTTCAGAATGTTAGCATTTTGTGGGATCTGATATGATTAATTCTGTCTCTGGAAGGATTGAGGGACAGGAGTCCTTAGTCAAGACCAAGCCCTGGAACTCACAAGGGTTTATTTTCCTTTAGACTTTTGGGCATGACTAAGCTTATGGGTCACCACAAGAGGTTCACATAGGCATGTAGTTCCATATTGAGCAAGCCTCCATCCCCATCATGTGATGGTGTGTGACATAGTCTGTACCTGGAGTCATGATGTCCAGGTATAAACCCTGACCCTGAACTCCACACACCTCATCCTGTAATAATTGTTCCTGACTCGTCACAAATCCTTACAGATTTAGAATTAAATCCTTGGTTAAAAGAGGAAAACTGATACATTTTGTTGACAGTGGTGGGTTAAAATTCATATTTTTCTGCCACTTTTTGGAATACATCCTAAAATCCCTGAGGACAAGGAAAAAAACCCTCACCAATTCCCTTTTAGTGTAAGTCAGGGAAGGAGAGAGATCGAGAGATGGAGAGAGGTGGAGAGAGAGAGACAAAGAGAGGAAAGGATGAAGGAGAAAATGAAGATTAAAACATTCAAAGTAGGTGCATCTGGATAAAGAGCAATTGAGTATTTTTAGCACAAATTTTATTTTGCAACATATCTCTATGTTTGATTTTGTTTAGGAATAAAATGTTTAAAAATAAATAATGAGGCCACCAGATGATTTTGATGAACTATAAATTTTGAGAATATTTGGTTTATTGAATAAAACTAATTTTCCTACTGTATTAAGAGCTCCCCCAAATCCATAAGAAATTTATCAACAAGACAGTGGAAAAATATACCAAGGATGTGAACAAATTGTTTCCAGAGACAGAAATACTAATAGCTCCTAAATGAAGATGTTACAGTCCATTAATAATAAAAAACACACACAGTTTTTCCTAGATACGATATTTACATCTTAGATGGGTAAACATCCAAAAATTTGCTAGTAAACTTGTGGTAATGGTGTGAGGAATCACAAACTTTTACATAATACCTGTGTCAGTGTCCACAGGTGCGACCTCAAGATGTTGAAATATGGAAATATCTACCAACATGCAATTATGAATTTGACCCAGTATCCATTCTAACTGCATATTCAAACATGAGATCAATGAGGTAAGTGTAAACAGTTGCAACATTATTTGTATTAGTAAGTGATCTAATAAAAACGCCCATTATGAGAGGCCTTGATATAGAATTTACAGCACATTCACACAACAGAATGTATTTGGCCAGAAAATAATGAAGAATCCTTTGACAACTCAAGAGAATAATCTATCAGCTGTGTGAAAAAAGGAGAGCCAAAGAAGAAATACATATACTATATTTATATGTGTAAAATATCTATTGAAATTTGCAGGAGAAATTAACAACTTTGGTTGTTGAAGCAAGAGGAACTAAGTGTCTGGAGCTAAGATTGAGATGGAGAATCTCCAGTGTTTCCTCTCTTGTTCCGTTGGAATTCAAAACTCAACTATCTGAACTCTTCAATAAACAGGAAGCAGTATATAAGTAAAAGTACGAATATTGTGGTATTTAGGGACATGGCTGTAGGAAACATGGACTCGGAGTATCGTTCAAACTTCTGGGGGCTCCTATGAGGTCTGACCATGGTGCTGTGATCATTTCCATGCTTACTTTCATGTGAGTGCCACCTTTATTTCAGTAAATTCCCCATTACTTGAGATCACCAGAGAGTATTTGGTTTTGGTGAACCAGAGAAAGTAAGCAGCTCACCTGGCCAGGTGAGGAGGCAAAGATTTCTCCTGACCCACCTGTACTCACTGGCTCCCTTGGCCCCGTCTGCTATCACCAAATCTTCCTTTATGCAGCCCCTGTGCGTCCCTGGTCTGAAGACCCCTGTGGTAAGCAGAATTCTAATTGGCAATCATATCCCATCCCCTGAGGTACACATAACCACTTCCAGGTTTGAAGTCAAATGCCAGTGTAGGTTCTGCTGTGAAGGGATTTGCAAATGGAATTCATGTCCCACATTAAGTGATGTTAAGAAAGTTTATCCTGCATGGGCTTGCCTTAATCATGTGAGCTTTTATTGGAGAAAAGATCCAAAGTTTGAGAGAGTTTTGATGTGAGGAATCTTCTCTTGCTGGCCTCCAGATAGGAACATTGATACACTGTGAGAGGGCCCAGGAGAGGTCCACATGAGAAGGAATGCAGGTAGCCCCTGAGAGCTAAACCTGGACCCCTGCTGACAGATAGGAGACAAGGAGACCTCAGTCCTACCATCACAAGGAACTGAATTGTACCCAGAATCAGAGGGTTAGAGGAGGACCCCAAGCCTCAGATGAGAATGCAGTCCAGGCTGACAGAATGATTTCAGCCTTGTAAGAACCTGAGCAGACAACCTAGCTATACCATGCCAGATTGCTGACCAGCAATAACTGTGAGATAATAATTTTTTCAGGTTTTACATATGTGGGAATTTGTTACACAGTGGTTGACATTGAATGCAGCCCTTCTCAGGGCTCTCACCTGCACATCGTATTGGGGCATGAGGACAGCAAAGCTGCTGAGGTGGGTGCATTGGAAGATGGTGCTGTTGTCTCTGGTGCTGGCCATCCTGCAGCCTTTGGCGGCCCAATGACCAATTCCATTCTGGCCACACTCCCAGAAAACACAGCATATCTTCTCCCTTGGCCCAGGGATCACTGACTTTAGGAACAGGAAATAGGTGTGAGATGGTGGTTCTGTAACTCAGAAATGCTGACCCAAATCTGGCTCATGAAGGGCTTTCCTGGGGATATTATGCACCCATGGGGGAGCCCCCTGAAGCCCAAGGCTGTGCCCAGGACACAGGGGTCTTCCACCCCACAGGTCCATCCCACCTGGACTCACATGTTGGAAGACAAAGGTGACTGGGGAGCTGAGGTTCTGGGTGTTATTGCTGGTGATAAAGGTGGATACAACATCTGACAGCAGGATGTGGGAGATTTCTTGCAGCAAACCCTTGTGTTTTGCTGCACAACCCATGCAGAACTGCCTGTTCTTCAGTATCCAGGACCAGGGGGACTTTATCCAACAACTTCCCTATCCCTGGGGTGGAGACAAGGCCCACCACAATAGTACCTGCAGGATAAGAGCAAGGTTGACATCTTGGGGGTGCCCAACATGAACCCTCCTTTAGATGGACTCTTTCCTTGTGGCCCCACCATAACCCGCAATTCCCTTTAAAGTTTAGTTTTCTGTTTGTCACTTCTTCGTGTATCTTTTCCCACTGTGAATCCTCAGGGACCGTTTCCCTGCCTCAACCATTACCTGAGTCATTAGATTCGTGCACTGTATCCCAGGTCAGCATCATCTGTGTCTGACTCTGAATCAAGGTGATATTCCTGTCTTCTTCCTCCAACACCTTCAGGGACAGTTCTAAGAGTTGTGGGGGTTATACAAGGAAGTTAGATTAGCAATTGTGCCTACAGTGGTAAACATAATACTATTATTTGTATATATAAGAAAATAAATGTTTTACTATATTATATAAATATGTAAATACTTTATATATTACATAACATATATTATATATAATGGTATTATTTGTTATAAGTAATAACATTTGGTACACATAATAATGGTATATCTGTATATCTTTTGAACCTACAAAGGATTACAATAGAACACTATAAGAAATTTATTCCACAACAAGTTAGGCAACCTAGATGAAAAGGAGAAATTCCTAGAGACACACAAAATACCAAAAATGACTTAAGAAAATGGAAAATCAGAATGATCTGGTAACAGGTAAGCAGGTTGAATCAGTATCCAAAACTTCCCCCAAAGAAAAGAACAGAACAGATGGCTTCTATGTTGAATTCTCCCAGCCATTCATGGAAGAATTAACACTAATCCTTTGTAAACCTCTCCATAGAATAGAAGAGAAAGGAACACTACCTAAATATTCTATGAGACCATCATTACCCTATAAATAAAATAAGATAAAGACATCACAAAAACCCCATAGACCAATATCCATTATGAACATGGATACACAAATAGTCAATAAAATATTAGGAAAAATTTTATCCAAGGAAACTCAAGACACATATTGAAAACTACAAAAGATTGTTGAAAGAAATTAGAAACCCTAAATATATCATAAGACATCCTATGTTCATAGACTGGAGAGTTCATATTGTTAAGGTTCATATTGTTAAGATGGCAGTAGTCCCCAAAGTGGTCTACAGATTCAGTGCAAGCCATATCAAAATTCTGACATCATTAAATTAATTTTTTGGGAGAAATGGAAAGCTCATCCTAAAATTCATAGGGAATTACGAGTGGCCTGGCTATGCAAAGCAATCTTGAAAATGAAAAACAAATTCGGAGGAGTTACAATTCCTCATTTCAAAACTTACTACCAACCTATGTTCCAGCCACTCTGGGGTCCATGTGTTTGTGGTCAGCATACAGTTAACTTCTTCCACCTGGTGGGAGTTTTATTATCAGGAAAACAACTCAAAGATACAGCTCAGATTATTATATATACCCTTGAGGAGGAACTCAAGTCCTTGGCTTTGTTTTCTGGCTAAACTATTATTATTTTGTCTTGCTTGACCCTTTTCCTTTCTTTCAGCATTCTCCCCCTTCTCTTATTAAATTTGCTCTTTGGAACTCCGGGAAGGCCTAGGAGGCTAAAGATTTTCTACAATATAAACATCAGGTGGGGGATACAGGGGTCTTTCCCCTGTAAAGTCCCCATGGGTTCTGCTTGGTTTGATATGGACTGAATATTAGATGATACCAAAATAGTCTCAACTTTTGAAGCGTGGTATTGGTATTATGGTTACACGGGACAATGTCCTGATTCTGGATGATTCATGCTGAAATATTTAATGGTGAAGTGTCATGATATTTTCAACTTTCAAATGGTTCAGAAAAAAATTATACATCTACATGCAGTCAGTTCTGCTATAATGCTTGTTTGAAAACATGATATTTTTCTGGGTATTGATAAATTTGGAAACAATTTGAACATAATGTAAATTTCATGTTTGCTTATGTGCAATTTCATCAGCAAGGCACACAAGAGAGACAGGAGTTAACTGCAGAAAACTGCACCCAGGTGAACCTAGCTGCTCAGAAATACACAAAACACATACGCACAGCTCAAGACACTGCCAGCTCATTCAGTGCCTCTCAGGTGTTATGAAGGATCCCAATATCCATCTGGGTTCTGACTTTCTGTCTGATTTTAGGTAACTCTCCCTCCACCTCTTCATTATAACTCACAAGTGTCAATCCTTCTGATGATCACTTCTACAAGCAAAGGACAGGCCTCTTTCAAGGTAAAGTGCTCTGTTTCTTGTAGTGCTTTTGTATTTCTTAATCATTCAATATATGTAAGATGCTGTTTTATTAGATTCCTTTTTTTTTAAATGTCAGTGACAAGTTTTGAGAGTTGAACCCCACCCAATCCCATTTTTCCCATAAGCCCTGTGGCTTTCACTGTGTGATTATGCACAATATTGGTTAGGAACACCTATGAAAAAATCTTGTTTAAAAGCAAACTTCCCTGGAGGGGGCAAGTTCCAGCCCACTGGCTGAAACTCATTATGTTCAACCACGTGACCTTCTGCCCTGTTGTCACTCAGGGAAAGGGGGTGGGTTCTCATGAACTGTCCAATCAGGGGCGCAGCACGAGAAGGTGGGTGGGGCAACACTTAGCCGACCACTTAAAGGCTCCTGTAGGTGCTCAGCGTCAAGTTTCATCTGCTCTCCCGGGTGCCAGGTGTGTCTCTGTAGCGTATATGATGCTGTGAACTACAGAGGCGGCAGGAGTGGAACGGAGGACCCCAGGGGGACCCCAGAAGCCAGGAAATGGTGAGTTGAGGGGCCAGGTGTCCCAGGACAGGGAGGAGGGGTTGAGTCGGAACCTGCCACTGTGGGACCCGGACCCTGCTGCGGTCAACTCCGGAGTCTGCAGACCGAAGTCCGCCCGGGGCTCAGCTCAGACCTAAGCCCCCTCCAGCTCTCAGCGCGGGGGCTGGGCCAGCAGCCGAGACTTCGGGCGTCCTGTCCTATCACTGTGCGTGGTGACTTTGGCCCCGGAGCCTCTCTGGGCAGCTCTGCACCCTAAACCCGTCTCTCCTCAGATTGTACATTGACCTCGGGTAGAGTCTTCAGACTCTGTGTCTGGTCTTTAAGTGTGGGTGGAGCTTTTGTCTGTGGGGACCCCCGTGCCAGTTTTCTCCCCAAGAGGACCCGTTTTCTCCTGAGTTTTCCAAATGTTTGGGGAAGCAGAGTCTCAAATCCACGAACCTGTCGCCCCAGCCTAGCTCTTCCTAGGGCTGGCATTAAATCCATAAATTCCAGGTCCCTCCCCGCCTTCCCAAAGCCAACTGCGTCTCTAATTCACAGTATCATTATCAACTATTTGTCCTCCGTGGTGCATGTCAAACAGACGCCGTATTTTTCTTTCCAGGGCAGAAAATTTATGTGTTCATTTATTTAATAATAAAATCAGGGCTTCCCTGGTGGCGCAGTGGTTGGGAGTCCGCCTGCCGATGCAGGGGACGCGGGTTCGTGCCCGGGTCTGGGAAGATCCCCCATGCCGCGGAGCTGCTGCGCCCGTGAGCCATGGCCGCTGAACCTGCGCGTCCGGAGCCTGTTGCTCCGCAACGGGAGAGGCCACAACAGTGAGAGGCCCGCGTACCGCAAAACAAACAAACAAACAAAACAAAATAATAAAATCAATAGTATTATTAATGGAAATAAAAATTATTTAATGCTCACCATATATCAGGGACTGTGCAGACACCTTACACAGATCTCATTTAATCCTAACATGCAATAAATATTAAGCTCACTTTTTAGAAGCAAACATTGAAGGATCCAAGAAGTTAAATCCTTACACAGGGTCCCACAGCCACTCTTTGGCAGAGGGGGATGCAGAATTTCGTCATTTTCCCACAGCCAATGAGTGGCTCATGTTTAAAGGTGTAGTTTTTGGTTTTCCTCTCTTTACCATGAGAGGAAAGCAGAGAATAATCACCTGTATCTAGGCTGTGTGAAACCCTTGGGTGTCTCCCCCCAGAGTCTTTCCTGGGCACAGACATCCTGTATCCTATGGGAAGCCCTTGGGTGTAGCTACCCCCTGAGAAATGTTCCTGCTCCTCCATGGGTTTGTCACCCTAAAAAGTTTTATTCACTTTTTAGTCACCGTTTTACAGTAATTGTAAACTAAAGAAAGAGGTGAATTTCAGAAAAGTATAACATAACATTAGTACATTGCCTGTGTTAAAATTTGTTTCCCTTTCTTCCTGCCCTTAGCGGGTGTTTCTGAAGTCTTTTGTTTACTTTTGGGTGCTTTCGAATGTATCAGTAATTCCAGGGCTTAGGCTTGCAGAGCAGAAGTGCTCAAGTATGATTGTTTACAAAAGTTTCTTGTCATGGAAATAATAACCAGCATCATTATTTTCTGGAGTCAATAGATACTCGTGGCTTTTCTTGTTGAGTTGGCAGAATGCCTTACAATCTTCATTTTTTTTTTCCTTCTTCATTTTTCATGAAGTGTTGTGTTGCTGTCTTTGCATTTGAAGAAACAGTCACCTCCTCCAGTTTTTACTGACTGGCTTTGGGAGAGAAACACCCTCACCATTCAACCCAGATGGATATTCTGAGCTTCTCTCAGGCTTTTTCTGTGGATGCCCACTTCATGCCTCTTGTTCCCTCTTTTGGACAGAATTCTTAAGATTCTATGCCTTTCCTTGATCCCTCACATCCAGGCTGGATGCTGTGTTTGCTTCCCCTGAAATGCTCAAGTCTGTATGTCTTCCCAATCCCACCTAGTCATGTGTGTGCTTATGAGCTACATGTGTGTGCTTACTGTGCAGTCTTGCGCTCCTCACCTGGGGGTCATGTGAGGAGCCAGACATAGGGTGGGGGTTGACGTATATGGAGCATTGGGTGTGCCCATGGCCAGTTGGAAGTGTCTGCAGGCAGAGTATCCCAAGCAGCTGGTGTGCAAGGCTCCTGAT